GAGAGACAGGCACAGAGCGCTGAAGCCGAGCACAGAGACGGCCGCTTCTCTGAGCCTTGCAGACCAGCAGACAGGTCTCCTCAGCACGTTTCGCGCTTAGCAGTCGGGCTACGCGGCCCGGCCCGGACCTCCGAGAGGCAGCCCAGACGCGGGTGAACAGCGGCTGAAGATGGGCAGGCAGAGTCACGATGTGGCGGCGGCATCCGCGGCCGGCGGCTCCGGCACACGCATACCCCGCTCTCAGAGCCGGCTCAGCCTCTCCGCATCCTTTGAGGCTCTCGCCGTCTACTTCCCCTGCATGAACTCCTTTGACGAGGAGGACACAGGTAGGACTGTTCCGACCCCCCCCCCACGACCCCTTTGTGAAAGACTGCGAGTGGATGGATGCGAGGGCACAGGGCATCAGTATGTCCGCGAGGTGTGTGGGAGAGCATGGCCGTTTCTGGCCTTTTTCCGGAAGGTTCTCTGAAGCGCTGTGTCCGACTGCTGGCAGAGGAACTCTTTGCTGATGTTCTCCTTGTCCTCATGGGTACGGCTGCTTGTAGCAGATGCACCACAGATAACTGCAGACATGGGGGCTCTCCTTCCCAAAAATCCCTGGACAGATCGATCATCCAGCCGGCGTCTGGGAGGGGATGCGGCTGTCTTGCGGCAGGGTGGGGAGGGTGGCGTGCTGAACTGCGGGGTGGCATGCAGCCCAGTCCCCCCATGCAGCCTGTAATGCATCCGCAGGAGGTTCAGGAGCAGACACAGGCTCTGGGAGAGGAGGCCTAACCCCCCAGCGCCGCTGTCTCCCATTCGGCCAAACATCTGCTACTCTCTCCTTGTATGTAATGCAGTGCTTCTGTTTTTTTTTTAAGTGAATTATAATTGGAATTGTAAATTTTCTCCCAGGAAATTGATTGACCTTAATTGCAAAATAGGGGAGTTTGTCTATCCCTGAGTGTCCGGGATCATAATTATGCGTGTGTCTCAGACAGAGCCTCTCAAATCCCCACTTTAATCTGTAGAAAAGCTCTTTCTGTGCTGACCCTTTCCAAAGTGCGCAGCAGTCTGCTTTGCCTAGTCTGCATCTGCAAAAATCCTTGTAAAATCAAAGAGGTTCTTAAATTTTTTATTCCTCATTAGTTAAGTCATGGAAAAGTTGAATCCCATGGTAGCTGCACTTTAACCCTCTTACAGTGTAATTCCTTAGGTGTTAAACACAGACAGAAGTAACATTCGGACACTATTTGCCTATCCAGTTATTTGGTTCGTGAGGTCTATTTTTGCTAAATGATCTTCTCCGACAACGAACGTCACTGTCTTTTGGAGCATACCATGGTTTGGTAATGGAAAGGGGGGTTTGGGTCATATGCAGATCCTGCATCTCAGGAAATGATACCCTGGGGTTTGCGGTGGCCCCCCTAGGTAGACGGGGCAGGGCGGAGCACGGCTGCAGTGACGGTGGCACCCTGGGGCTCTGGCACCCGTCACAGGGGTCTGCATATGCATGGGCTCGCTCCTGAAGGACGCCACATGGTGTAATGTTGTTCAACCCTGTGGGATATTAAACTGCTTGAGACAGTATTATACTTAAGATATCAAGTATAAGCAAGGATATGATGATGTGCATTTTAGCATGTATAAGTATTTGTGTCTTTGACTATGATACTCTAATGACTAATTTATGGATCCGTGGACTGTATATTTCCAGTGTAAATCTGGTGTTTGTTGATTGGTGGACATAAGGCCGTGTACCGTTAGCAAGCCAGATCGCACTGCTGATTTAAGCTGATGGACAGCTTCTCGCACGTGGGTATAAACGTGATGAGACAGCGACATTAGTCGGCAGGCAGTTGCCAGGACCAGCAGGTACAGAGATGTAAGTGATCAGTATCGGGGAGCAAGCTGGACACTTTCCACACCCCCTCCCTGAGTGGTACTCAGCAATACGCGTGCAATCTTCCTCCTGTCTCTGCACTACACATGCGGCGTCTGGATAAACCGACCCTGCCTACCTGGGACTGTGTGGTGAACTGAGTCACCCAGAGTAATGCTACACCCTTAATGGTGGGTTTCTGAAGACGGAGCCTCAGGTCACCTGCTGATTTATCCTTTCTTCCAAGTGGGAGCTGGCAGCAGAGCCAGCCTGTGTCTGTGTGAGAGCTCTGCTTTCCTGGGCTTTGCTGCGTATATAACACGGGGACATGGCCAGGTCTATAGCGGGACGCAGCCAGCGGCACGCCATGTCCTGCCCGTGTTTCTGGATCTGTGGCGGCATGGATGCACTGGATGGACAGTTTTGCCTTTCTGCTGCGCAGCATGCTAAGGGCACTGTCCCCCTCCCTCCCTGCAAGCCTTCCCTTTCCAGAGTTGACAAGGCCTGCATCTCTCTCTCCCCCCCTCCCTCCTACTCTCTTCCTCTCTCCCCCTCTGTCACCCCTCTGCAGAAGCAGGAGGGAAGAAGTTGCGCAGCACCATCCAGAGGAGCACGGAGACAGGCTTGGCGGTGGAGATGAGGAGCCGTATGACACGGCAGGCCAGCCGGGAGTCCACCGACGGCAGCATGAACAGCTACAGCTCCGAAGGAAAGTAAGTACAGCTGGTTGGAGCACCACCGAGTACTGTACACCACTGTCAACAATCCATGAGTAATGTACACCACTGTCAACAACCCATGAGTAATGTACACCAATGTCAACAACCCATGAGTAATGTACACCAATGTCAACAACCCATGAGTAATATACACCCAACTTCAACACCACCCAAGTAATTTACACCCAATATCAACACCGCCTGAGTAATGTACACCCATCTTAAAGTGAAAGAAATACTTAAAACTTTTGTGTCACTCTACATCAAAGCCCCTAAAACCATCATCAGAATCTACGTTTGTGCAGCTAAATGAGAGATTATCTTTGTTTGTCTCCTATAGCCTGATATTTCCTGGAGTGCGGCTTTCTTCTGACAGCCAGTTCAGTGACTTCCTGGATGGTCTTGGTCCTGCCCAGCTTGTGGGTCGGCAGACATTGGCCACACCTTCCATGGGTAAGCCTGACACTAAGATGGCTTCATTTTGCTCCAGTTACTCAGATTAATACTACAAAACACAGATGTGCTTAAGTGTTCACTGCATGACTTAATGCTGACTTGCTGATGTTCTTAGGTGACATCCAAATTGGAATGGTGGACAAGAAAGGATTGCTAGAGGTGGAAGTCATCCGAGCTCGTGGCCTTGTGGGAAAACCAGGCTCTAAGGCACTGCCAGGTAAGTCTAACCCATCCATCGTGCTTTTTGGAAGCACCATGAAAATGAGTCGCTGCATGGAGAGGGTGGGGGGGGGGATGAGGCTCTTAGTCACTTTTGCCTGACTGCGTTTTCCCCTCCTAGCACCGTATGTCAAAGTGTACCTTCTGGAAAACGGAGCCTGTGTAGCCAAAAAGAAAACGAAAGTCGCTCGGAAAACTTTGGATCCCCTCTATCAGCAGCAACTGTCATTTGAGGACACTCCAGGCGGGAAAGTTCTGCAGGTACCGTGTCAATTCTGCAAAAATAAGTAGGCAAGCCAGTTCCCACTGTGTCATCCACACAGTTTGTTAAACAATCCATTTGATGTTGAAATGGTTGTTAGTAAATAAAAAGGGGGAAAATATGTATGTACATATAAGTTTGGCAGAGATTGGCTAGCTGAAGCCAGTGGTTCCTTGCAATTATATTTACCTTATATGTTTGAAATGTAAATTAGTATGAGCATGACTGAGTATATGGATGTTTGACTTTGGCTTCTCTGCTTTTGACAGATCATTGTGTGGGGGGACTATGGACGCATGGACCACAAATCCTTTATGGGAGCTGCTCAGATACTTTTAGACGATCTTGACTTGTCCAACATGGTGATTGGCTGGTTCAAGCTCTTCCCCCCTTCCTCATTGGTGGACCCAACCCTGGCACCTTTGACCAGGAGAGCTTCCCAATCGTCACTGGACAGTTCCTCTGGACCTTATGCTCGTTCATAGCAGTGCAAGAAAAGATAGCTTTGTTGTAGCAGCCAGTGTTGGAGTTTAAAGTCTCGAAAGGCCACGCCCTGGTTACCCTGGTTACAATGCATGCTTGATGTTGTGTCCTCTGAGCCTGTTTCTAGGGATGCAAAGGTGATCCCGTGTTTTTGGCAAAAGTTGCACACATTGTGCGATCCAAAAACCCTTATGGGGAGAACCAGATAGAAGCAGCATGAACGAACTTGCAAACATGGAGTTGCGTGATGCTAGGTTTTCATCCAATCTGAAGCCATGGAGGGTGGACTGAGAACCAATCAATGAGTTCTACAGAAGCCCTTTTTTAAAATAAAAAATATAACTAAAAATCAAAGTCATTAATCTTGTTTTTTTGTTTTGTTTATTGTATTTATGTTTTTTTTTTGTTGTCGACGTACAAGACGGGGTAACGACGTTGCTTAACAGATGCCTGGTTATGCCACAGCAATGCAGAAGTTTGAGCAGGGGCAGTGAGATGCGACTGAGCAGATTAGGGTGTAAGCCAGCGCAAGGCACCGCGCTCCATGCAGCCCAGTGATCCCAGATTAGCTACCCGCCCTCACAGCTAAAGCAGGTCCTGAGAAATTGCGAGTCAACTTTTCAAAATGGCTGTAACTGACGCTCCAGGTCATAAACACCACATCCCAGAACAAGATGAACTTTTCTGATCTATTATAATTATTTCTCTGTTGATATATTGTATGAAATTTAAAAGAGGAAAAAATTTTTTTGCATGATCACAAATTTAGCTGAACTTTAAAAAAAAAAAAAATTATTTTCTTGAGGCTGCAACTTGCAAAAAAAAGAATAAAAAGAAAAATGATAGAGATCAGCCATTTTCAACAATTTATATTATTTTTAAAGGTGAATTTCACTAGTGCATGGTTTTAAAAGGGAGTGAATGTAACGCCGTGATTCAAAGAGACACACCGTGTTTGTCGCCTGTCAGACCACACACTGGTCTGTATTTTTACAGACAGGAAGCTTAAAAAAGATTTATAGCTTATTAACAAGAAAGACCTGTTTATGTGACAAGATAATATTAAAATAAATGTAAAGTATTAATTTCATTGTAAAGGCGCAAGCCTTAAAAAGACAGATATTATGTGCAAATTGTACATTTCTCAATTCTGTCCTCCCCCAGGTCATTGTACTACTCATTTCCGTCATTGTCCAATTCCCCTGGTTCCGTCCCTGTTTCTTCAGAACTGTAAATTATCTTACAGTTCTGGATTCTTTATGTCTGTATTTCTTTTATGGATTTGATTTGTCTAACAAGCATGTTGAAAAGGGATTTTTTGCAACATGGCTTGGGCACACAGTAACTCAGCATGTTTTGATAGAAAAGAGATATTTGGATTTTTGCAGTTTTCTTGTACAGTGCATGTAAAAAGAAAAAAAACAAAAAACTAAGTTACTTTTTTCCTTCACCTTGAATTGAATTCTACAGCAAATGAGTTATCGGGCTTTTGTGGCCAACTGTTGAGATGTTTATCGAGACATTCCACCTCCTGGTATCATTATGTTTCTGATTAAAAAAAACAAAAATCAAAAAAAAAAAAAAAGAAATTTAAAGGAAAATGGTTTTATATTTAATAGTGGTTGACTACAAAATAGTGTAAGGTTGCATCTTTTATTTTATTATTGTTGTAAAAAAAGAGTAATACAAACAAAAAAGAATAAACCCATAAACTGGATTCGCGGGATGAATTTTATCTAAGCAAGCAGCGGAGAGTCCTGTACTGTAATGTATTTTGCTGTAAAGTTCAATTTTAGCGGCGCTGTTTGTGAAACAACGAATGACTCAAAAAGTACAGAAAATGGGGATTTGCCACACGATGAACTTTTGACTTTTGTTTGTCGTTTTTGGGAAAATAAAATTACTTTAATATATATAAATATATTTTTTGTTAGTTTATTTTACAAGCCAAGACCAATTTTTTATTTCCTATTTTTAGTAATTATTAAATGCTTCCGATGATTGGGAAGTAAATGAGTCTTAAGAGTGTTTAAAATGTTTTAATGAGACCGAATCGTGAGGCATTATTCCTCTCTACAACATTCAACATTTTTTCTTTGTTTCTGTAACAAGCTCTGTATTTTCCTTTTGCTTTGCATTGTACATAGGCTTCCCATACATGCACACGCACAAACCTGCGAATGGAGTGGATTCGAAACACATGCAAATGTAAAAAGGCACAGCATTTTGGAGGAAGGGGTAATGCCTCATGAGAACATCAATAAGACCTGCTGTTATTAACCCCGGAATGGCTATTCATTTTTTTCCGGTGCAATGTGTTCATGCCAAGGTTATGTCTTGGTAAAGTATGGTTGAGTACAGAGATTTATGTAAGTTATTTTTCAAATTAACAATAAAAAATGGATATAACACAGATACTGAGTACCAGCAACAAATCAAACAGATGTTGTAGCACTCTCCCCCACTTCTTTGCTTTAAGCTGCCCGAATAACTTGTTTTTCAGCAGTATAAACCATCTACAGAAAGCCACCAACTGACACCTTCCCCACAAATGCACTCCTCTGTATACGTTTCAAATGCATAAAGACTGAAAAATATGGAAAACAGTCTATTATTATACATTTTTTTAAATGTTTTTTTTTTTTCCACATATTACGATTTTGCTTTAAGCTGCCCGAATAACTTGTTTTTCAGCAGTATAAACCATCTACAGAAAGCCACCAACTGACACCTTCCCCACAAATGCACTCCTCTGTATACGTTTCAAATGCATAAAGACTGAAAAATATGGAAAACAGTCTATTATTATACATTTTTTAAAATGTTTTTTTTTTTCCAACATATTACGATTTTCCAACAAATTACGATTTAGCTATGTGAAAACTATCGGTCCTTTAATGACTACGGCTGTCCTATATATGCAAATAAAATACAAAACCTAAATGGTAATAAGAAGAAGGATAAGTAATAGGTACAGTAATCTGGACCTTTAGAGTGACCCAACACAAATCAGACACAGATCTGACTTCATTACTGAGTTCAGTCAACAGTAATTCTGGTGATGGTATTTCAGACTGATAATAGAGTCTTTACGTGTTAGTGATGGTGATGTTTGTTTATCAGGTTGTTCTGCAGGGTCGCGTTTTGCGTCGATCTCTGTATTGTTTGCGTTGTCCGGCTTCCACGCCGTCTTTGTCCGCACTACATCTCCGCGACAGCTGTCCGCACATTTGCTTTTCGCATCCGTCTCCTCAGCCACTGAAACCACTGTTGCTCAACCCAGCTGGTGACAGTTCAGGTCCACGTACCAAACACCGAGCCTCCAGTCTGGGGAACTTTCCATAAACCCCCAGCAACAGCTGAAAAACAAGCATGTTCTTATAGCACCTCTGAAAACCACTTTTTACTGTTAATGACCAAGACTTGTTTTTTTTTGTTTTTTTTGCTGTCATATCGAGGTTTGAGCAATTGCTTAATGTGGAGGAACACAGTTAAATGTGCTTTTTTCAGCCAGCACAGCATAGTGGTAAAGATATTAGTCCTGAAAATAATTTTCAGAGCTGTACTGGATACTGAGATAAGGGACTGTTGCTTCTCTGCGATCTGGGCTGAGCAGACGGTGCGGTTCAGAACGCTATATCAATGCGTGCATGTTTCTGGAACCTACCATGCCTTTTTATTCTCGGTCTACAAATGGCCGGCTCTAGCTATAGGCAGAATAGGTAGTAATCTGGGGCCCACAAATTACCAGGATTGCGGAGGAAGTGGAATCATCAGTTTTCTTCAAAGGGGGGCCTTCCCAGGACTCCTGAAAAGGTAAAGCCAGCCCTGAGTCCACATGTGGTCCAAATCTGGTACAATGCTGCTGGTGCGTATTCAGCAAAAGCAACATCCGGCGGCCATAAGTATGGATCCACGCAGCATGTAGTTCCATCATGTACACCAGTTCCCAACCCCTACAAGCCAGGTTTCATTTGATTCATGACACTATTTTTACCTAATGAGCAAAGGATGTTGATACCTGGAGGAGGCTAATTTGAATGGGTTAAGAGAATTATTTTATTAGCTGCTATCAAGTTGATATCTCCTGCAGGCCATATAGAGAACATTTCTCCATAATGATCCATCTTGTTCCCAGATCGTGACGCTTCCTAGCAGCATATTCTGTGTAATAATTGAGTCCATCCATTTTATTGTTGGCTGACTTCTTTCTTTTTAGCCATCAGCAGGATCTTCTCCATAATACTGACCAGTTTTCACACCCGTATGATGTCATACCATAATCTCTTTTGATCTTTGATGTTAGCGATACATCGGTACTTTTGAAGATTTTATCTACATCTTTCATCATCTGCCAAGTGCTAATTTGTGACATATTTCTCGACGGTCTGATCTTTTGTTGTTGATAATGTGCAGACTGTTGATCCCTCTACACTAAAGTGATCTGCTGATCCTGTGGTTATACTGTAACTTTAGTTTTTGTCACATTTAGCCATAGTCTCATCAAGCAGATCTTCCAACTTACAGGGAAAAACTTGGGGGTTGGTGGCAGGATTGACTCTCCAGCCACTGGGAAAAAAAACTCACACTGGTCCATTCAGACTAGTGTGGCGCTTAGGTATCACCCACCTCATGCCTGCATTCAGATTCTCATCCCTAAGGTGGTTTGTTGTGCAGTGGATGCGGCAACACACTGTAACCAGTGCATGCTCTTTACACACTGTAATCAGTGCATGCTCCTTACACACTGTAATCAGAGCATGCTCCTTACACACTGTAATCAGAGCATGCTCCTTACACACTGTAATCAGAGCTTGCTCCTTACACACTGTAATCAGAGCATGCTCCTTACCATCTTCTATAACATTTCTAATACCCAAATTCAGATCTTCTTCTGCTGTGTTTGGTGTCATCAGCCAATTGAAGGATGTCAACGTTTCTTCCACTACTCTGAAATTACAGTTGTCTACTTCCAATCCATCTTCTCCCATTACATGCTCTCCATACAAGTTGAATAGGTTTGGTAAATATTAATTATTGGACTCTAATTCATTTTACCAGACATGCATGCATTTTGATGATCTACTAGAAACCATGTATTCTTAGCAGAATAACGTTGTATTAATTTGCTGAAAATTGATCATGCATCATCGTAATCATCATAAAATTGTAATGTTTATTTTACAGAGTCTTGCATTGGAACAGAAAACACGTAAACGTGGTCAGTTTTGTAACTTCCCGGTGGTGTCTCATGAGGAGGAAGTGCCACGGTTTCAAAGACAAAGACCAAAAATGCTGGCATTTCCCAGACCCGCTGCGAAGCGACGGCTGCGCCGACTCCAGCTCGTCAGGTATTCTAATTTCCCTCCTTATAAGCCTTCTCCACTGAGAAAAGATATTATTGGTGTAAATGTCAGGTTGTCTTAATGTTATGAAAGGGAAGGGGGATTTCATAACACAATAATGATTAAATTTCAGGCTGTTTGAAGTGCTGTCTAACCACAGTAAAATTTTAAATATTCAGTACCTGTTCGAAGTAGCCATTTATCAGCCCTAGGAGATGATTTAGAAATTTACAAAAGTTTAAGGGTTTATTTGTGTAAGTTATTCTCCCAGAATTTTTGATTGTGTGCTGCCAAGCGAGTGCCACGTTCACAGAAAAGTCGATCTTCCATGCTTGTTAGCTCTTGTTGCCTGCAGCGATTGTTTATGATAATGACACTGTTTTTTTAGCTAACAGGCATCATGCTGAAGATGTACACACTGCATCCAGAGTTAAAGCAGCTCAGGACCCAGTGTTTGTCCACTACTGCATTGCTCAACATCCCAGACCGCAGAGATGCCTACAAACGTTGCTTCCTTCGTCTTCTCACCTCCTTCACCATCAGTCTGGCCTTTAGTGTCCTCCTCTTCCTCAGCTTCTTATCTCTGAAGTACGAGAGGGCGGTGCTGGGGTGTGTCGCGGGCCTGAGCTTGGCTGTTACCACACCTGCCTTATTCATTTCCCAGGATGTTCGCCATTTCGGGCTCCTCTTTTTGATCTCCTGTGGCATGCGGCAAGGGAGGAATCTGCTCATAACTGCCGGGACTGGTATAGTGATCTTCTGGAATGTTCAGAACACATTCAGCAACCTCAAGGAGTTGGCCAGGAGCATGATCTGCAACCTGGAGACCAGGCGGATTCTCATTGACCTCACACCCATTAGCAACTATGTTAAAATGCTAAAATGGATCGGCAAGCAACTCCAGGCAAACCCCCATTTTGGAATGGTCGATTTCAAGACTCAGCTACACGTCTCATCCAAGGTTGACTCTGAAGGCCTGGAGAATATGCTGAAGCATGCAGAGAAAATGTTAAATGCCACAGCAGACCACGTACTTGGTGTAATGAACACCATGTCCACCATAAGCCAGATAGTAGGTCCAGTCCTTGGTCTCTTTCTGGTCTTGGTTTTCACAGTATTGTATGCAAGGCAGTACCAGCACAACAAAAAGTTTATGAACACCTTTATCACCAGCCACTTCATCGAGTACGATAGGAGGCAACAAGCTATGGGACAGATTTCTGTCCTGCCCCTGACGAAAAATGAAGCGGCTCTCTACACCACGATCCCATCTCTTTGGTTCACCACCAAGGAGTGGAAGGCCATGCTGAAGTTCAGTCTTCCTATCCTGACTAACTTCTTAGTCTGGGTTTTATTTATGGTCATCGATGCTCTTATCTATTGGCTGATTGTTATCATCAAAACCCATCTAGAAAGTTTGGAGCCATTCAACGTTCCCCTGAAAGTCAGCTCTACTGTAAGTGCAGTTGTACCACTCATCAATACCTTGTTTGTTTGATTTATTATCTTCATTGTCTTAACATGGTTGAAAGTACTGTGTTTTGTTTCCCAGGAAGAAAAAACCATCATTGGCATTAATTTTCAGGATAACAGGGAGAGCAGGGATTTCTCATATTCTGTGGCCCTCTTTGAGGAGAAATGTCTTCCTAATCCCACTTTGATGACCTACAACTCCACGGTCCCGCTCTCTGTCATCCTTGTCGTCTTGGCCTTCCTGGCTCTCCTCTCTGGCAAACTCCAGCAAGTCCGACTCTTGTTATCGACTAAGCTCTACAGCCAGGCCTCTGACAAAAGGGTACAGTACCTGCACTCGGAAATAGTCTTGGATAGGCAGACAGACAGGAATGCCCAGAAAACTGCTCTGATGAAACGACTGAGAGAGGTTTGTCATTCTTTACTTCACTTGGAGGATTTAAGTCCTTAGTCATTAGTTTATTGCAATATTAAATTGTATTTCTCAAACATACTGTTTCTCGTACTCTTCGATCTCAGGTTCATAATTTGTTTGTCGTTCCCCACAGGAGATTAAAGGCTAGGGGGGATAGAGCCTTTCAATCTGTGGCTCCCAGGTTTAGGAACAATCTCCCATTACAATTATGTTTGGCAGACTCCGTGGATTATTTAAAAAAAGTTAAAAACTTTTTTTTATCTGGCATTTAATCAGGCTTTTTTTTTTAGATTTTTATTGATATTGATGGCATTATAATTATCTGTCATCATTTATTTTAATGTGTCTTAATATTTCTTGTTTACTTTTTATTGCTTTTATTTTGTTGTGTGCTGCTTTGTGACTATATGTCTGTGAAAAGCACCTTAATCTTTACTTACCAAGTTTAATCAGAGGTTTGGAGTGAGATTACATCTTTTCGGGTCAGAGCGTGTGTCTCACGGTCAGTGCGTGAGACTTGAGAGCCCTGTCTTACCACAGTCATAGGATCTTGTCTGCCACTTCCACCTTGTCTGAACTCCATCTGTGAACGCAGCCATGTAATAACAGATCACATGTAATTTATTTTGTAATTTACCCTTAAACAACAAATGCTATTTTCTGATTGGCTGGTAGGTGGCTATTAAGTCTGTATAAGTCAGGACAGCTATGAACTGGTGGAAAACTGCACTCCGTATGCTGTGTTCTGTTCAGTTGAGCTACTTTGTCGAGTTAGGCTACCGTAGTGCTAATCGATAAAGCTAACCCTAACCCCAAAACACCCCCCCTAAAACCCTTACCCTAACCCCTAAAACCCAACCCTAATCCCAAAACGGTGGAACTGCACATGCGCAGAAAGGCTCGATAGCACGTCTGGATAGGTAGCTCAACTCGACCGAACACCGGCGCCTCGTCCATTAATTCTATATAACAGGACACTTCGTGGGCGTTATTGTACCTAACGGCTGAATTATCGAAACAGCTCAAGGACTGATGATTCATAAAAAATTAGCGGGGGTATCATTTTCATGAATTCACCGTAAGAGCTGTCAAAAGGAAAGAATTAAAATGAAAATAAATATGTTCCCCGCAACTTCAATGTACAAACGCGTATAAACACTAATAAGCTCCTTTTAGATTCCAGTGCTGCATAACTTAAACTTCACAGATAAATACATTTACCTTGTTCACACTATGAACCAGGCACAGACTTCCTTTACCGTTTATTCGCGCTGCTTTCCGTGAGCAATAACATGCCTTAATCACGCGAAACCGACAAAAATAAAATAATAAAATAACACGCGCATCCGCCAGAACAAAAGTTTATATATAGAAGTGAATTTATAGCATTTACATAAAAATGGAACATATAGGAAAATACATGAATTGCAAATAAAAAAACCGGGGGTAATAACACTCAGCTACTGTAGCTACCCCTTATTTCTCAGCGGCGCGTGAGCGGGTGACGTGGCTGGAACGCGCGTGTCTCGCGGTCAGTGCGTGAGACTTCAGAGCTCTGCTTACTCATTTTGGGTGAAATTTTAGAAAATAATGAATAGCACATAAGGTTTTGTTTTTGTGCTCTACGTTTCCTGGTATAAGCTACTGTGGATATGGACATGCAAAGAATGTATTTTATGTAGCATAATTTAGTCCAAAGTTCCCTCAATTTGTATGCAATTTAACGCACATTAAATTGTACACAGTTTCACAAATAATCTTCACCTTCTGTTCACAGGCCAGTTTCTGGTTTCCAATATTGTTCCATGATAAAGACAAGGACAATTTCTGACTAACCTCACCAGGATCGATGCAATCAAGGCAAGAGTTTTTCTCTCGGAAAATATTCATAATATTACTTATTGATATTAATATTTTTTAAAATCTAATGCAATATTTGAAAAGGCTATTTAAAATTAATTCATGTTTTTAAGCCTGTGAGGCTTGTAGAGTTAATAATTCCCCTAAATGTTCTCCTTTTATGTTTTGGAAATAGTATTAATTTGGGGAAATATAAGTGTATAAAGAAAAATGAGGTTTCGAACTGGCGAATGCTTGTGATTTACTGTCTGCTTCAATAGCTGAATTTTATCTATCAACAAACAGATGTCTAGCTTTCAGGGCCTGGAATGAGGCATGCTGGTACAAGGGAAAGGTGTCTGCTGGATTCTGTGGTACCTTCAGATCGCCAAATACACTACAAAGTACACAATTTGGAAATTAACACAGGCAGCAGAGTGACATTGTTATAGTTACTGAACCATGATATATGTAATAACGTCCACCATGATTTGCATTGAGCAACGTCTGAACTGGTATAGTAAATGTCAGCTTCAGTGTTATGATGCAGTCTGCACTGTGTGCTGCAAAATCTTCAAAGTCATGTGCCATGCTAAATTAGTTAATCTATCATACTACCAAACCAGTTGCAACCAGTTGACTTCATTTGACTCACTTTTGCATGAACTTCCATTAGGGATTATTTTGGTGATCTCTGCCCTGTTTAAACAGATACCATTGTAGTGTATAAATCAGCTTCAGATATATTAAACAAACCTTTGATACAGTGTGGGAGTTCGACGTAGCATCCAGCAGAGTAGGAGAGCTGGAATTAAATAAGTTCTGAGAACTTATTTACCCACCCATTGTTTAAATGAACTCAGGTTGAAAATATTTGTGTTCTCCAGACAACGCTGGCCTGCAAGCCGTTTAAAAAACACACGTTTTCATTTTCCCCTGCAGGTCTGAAGTGTTTGCCTATGATCCATGAATGTGCTTCTAGAATTTAAAAAGAAAAAAAAATGGAACTGGCTTATTTTCTGTGAAGACGCCGTATACCTAGTGTTTATCGCTATTCGTTTTTCTCACAGCACCCTGCTGGCTGTGGCGGGGAGGGGGGGGGGGGGGGGGGGGGCTTGCATGTTCTCCACCAGTGTCCTGTACTTCCTGGGTGAGATTGCAGCCTGACTCTGACCCTTTACTGGATGAACAGTTACAGGAGATGTGCAGATAGATGTAGAATACCCGAATTTAAGGATGTATCTCATTCTCTTTTGTTCAAATCTCTGGTTTTCAGCATTTATAGTTTTATCACATGGCCATTTAAGGACATCACTGCTACAGGGATCTGATTTCTTGTTGCTATAGGTAAAAAGCTCTGGAATTTGAGATGTAAAGCATGACAACTCATTGTCATCAAAGACAAAAGGGACGTCATCGCAGAGTGAATGGGCTACAGTGTTCAGGCACCTCACCCAGTACCTCATTGTGTCTGCGGGATGAAGTTTCCTACAGAGAAGTTCAGGACAGGCTTGTAAACTGAAGATTACTGGTTCCAGTCCAGAAATGGGTGAATTATGTCATACTCTTGACTGTTGAATGTACCTATTCTGAATTTCTTTAATGAAACATTCAGGTCTTTGAATGTGTAAAATTTGCTCATTTGTATAGAAAAAGTTAAACATGTGAAATGAAATGATTGTCTTCTTGGGTCTTCTGTTGACGCCATTACATTCCTCTCCCATGATTGGGTTGCTGGTCTTCGTCCAGAGATAAGCCATGCTAGTATATTTGTCTGCTGGATTTTTATCCATATTGCAATGGTTTCTGCGGTATAATGGTTAACCATGCTTTTTTTTGAGCTAATGCATTGCCAGAATTCTGGAAGTTTCCAGCTACAGAAAATAAAATCTAACAGTAAAAAATGATAATACAAACAGCTACTTTAAGCAAAAATGCTATTCTGATGCCGACTAGGTGCAATAGCTGAATGTAACAACAAAAAAAAAACAAAAGAGAAGAAGTCATCTTTGTAAGAGTGTGGAAAACGTGTGTTAAATGAGGCCTGTGAAAGAGAAATCGAGAGCAGAGGAATGCAAATGAAGGAGAGGTACACATCATTATGTTCAATAACTGCCCTTTTCATTGTACCCTAACTATCCCGCTAATCGACCTGTATTAAAAGGACTATTGCTTTAGCTACAAGCTAAATGAGCTAAATGAACCTACAGCCTTTAGCAGAGCAGCTGCGAGCCAACGTCTGACTACATCACTAGTAATTCTATATATATCTTTTGTTTTATTTTAAGGCTGTTCTTTATTATTATATTTTTGGCCTTGGGGACTGTTGAGCCATCCATGCTAACAAGGTAATTCAGTTGAGCGTAACAGAAGTTTCTGGCTGAAACGTGAATGTATCAAAATGTGCTTCTAGCGCTGAAGCTCTCCTTCCCTTGTGTCCCATCTTGAACTTGCAGATCTGGCTCCGGTGCTAATTTTCACTTGTTACCGGTCACTCACCAGAAGCTCAGCCTGCCAAACTACACTTATCCCCATTGGACTAATAGATAACTCTATGCTTGTGATTTACTGTCTGCTTTACTTGTACACTGCTTCAGATAAAACTATCTGTTAAATAAATAAATGTTAATGAACATCAATAGCGTCTTAACATTGACTAAAAGATGCTTCACGTCATTTTTGGCTTAGTGGTATATTCATGCTTCCTGACATTAGTATTTAAAATGAATACTGCTCATTCATTCATCACGATAATACAATCCGTGCTGTAGACTTGGTTAAAAGAGGAATTTGAATACTTTTGCATAATCGTAAAGTGCTAGATGACATGACAAAACTCGTGATATTAATCCTTTGAAATAATGTTGTATCATTCATAAAAATGATTATTTTACTTTGTAGCAGGACCCTGTACCATGTGACAGAAACCCAGACTCGCACTGTGGTTCACTCCTACATTTCACTATCATAAGTGAAATATTATTTTTTCCTCCAGAGCATAAAATGAAAGTGGTCTGATGAGGTTTTACGCACAATTATCCATTACACCAAATGAGCAAAAAATTTTTAGATTTAATCAGTCCTGTTCAATGAAGCCTAGTGATCACTTGGGAAATGGGTTTAAGGAAAGAAATGTTGCCCGACATTACCCGTGTTTCACGTCTCAGCCGTGTGCATGTCACTGCAGAATATTCTGGAAATATTGCCATGCAGGCACATTGCAAGTATTGTTTTGCTGCTCAAAGTATTTCACCAGTCAGGAAAGGACATCCAAATGGAACATATCTGTTATCATTCTGTCTTAAAGTAGACAAGGCACATTTTATATTTTTTTCCCATCCAGGATGTTCTCCTGTCTGGTTCCCTGTGCTGCCTGCCTTAGCACCCCCTGCGATTTTTGAAGGGTAAAACTAAGAATCTCAGTATTTTAGACAATGACAGTTCTGATAGATGACGCAAACATGCACCTAAGAAACCCAAATATTGCAAAACTGCTGAAAGGAGGAGAGCACTAATCAGAGAGCAGTATTGCCAGGCCCGTAATAACCACCAGATTCACTTAATTGTCCTTATAATGGTCTATTTACTGAAAACTGGCCTCATAAATACTGGAATGATTTCATGCGCATTTATTTTAGAAATCATTGGAGCAGATTGCTTCCTGATGTCATCAGGCCTGTATACAGTACCTAAACACAGCTTGTAACTCCTCCAAAAGGAAGCCCCCCCTAATTAATATGTATAAATTCTCTTTTTGCCGAGCCCATCTCGCTTTCCATGAGAGACATGTAGAGGTGAGACCAAGCTTGGGATCACAGTAAAGGATCAGTCTCCTGGCAGCCCTGGGGGGGGGTTCAAGGCCTCACATAAAGGCCCACGGACATGTGACTGTTTCGCCAAAGCCGGATTTAAACAGGCGCATGGGCTTATCCCGCTGAGCCACTCAGCCCATAAGAAGCCGGCTTCTCAGGCTATTAAGGCACGTGAGGTTCAAATAGTAAATATGGGAAACACATGTGCAATAGTGGACTTTTGCCATAACACGTGAATAATGTCAGTTTGTTCTAGAGGGACACTGCTGGGGGAGAGAAGCAGTTTTGTGTCTTGAAGCCTCGGTTTTTATTAAAGGGTGGGGGCATTTAAAGTACAGGTTCACCCAGGTCAAAGCCCAGGGGCCTCCACTGAAAGGGGCCTCAACCAATCTTATTTAATAAAATATTATACCTCAAGTTGGCACCTGTTTCATATTTTACAAGAACGTCCAATATTGAACAATAAACTGAACCCCCCCCCCCCCCCACCCCTCGGCAAATTATAAAATTCAAAAATCACTGTCACATCGCGCCCACAAAACCTCAGTAGTTTCCTTGCCTGACGTTCTGGTACGAAGCCCCATAAAGAGCATGTTTCATATCCCAGCGGGTCCCAGAATTCACCATTCAAATCACAACTTTCTGTCTCTATTGTAATTGTACATAAGATATCTTAAGACTGTAATTTAACAAGAGGTCTGTTGAATTTCACTAACAGCTTAATGGTTGATTACCTGCAAAGTGTTTCGAAGTATATTCCTCTCAATGAAGACTAACAAATGAGTGCAACTGAGTATCAAAGTGCTTCTTAATGCTGCTGTTTGGCTTGAGCAGAGGGTAAATATGAAATATGGCTAAATATGCATTTATGTCTTAATTAAAAGATGAGGTAAAAAAGATTAGACTTCATCTTCAGAGCTGGCTCTACTGAATGAATAATACTTTTGAGTATTATTTGAGTAACAGATCATACTTAATTGAGATCGTCATGCATCTTGAAAATTCAGGTCTTTGTTCCTCATGCTTTGCATCTTCATTCATTGTTACAATAAATCTTGAACTTCTTGTCTTCATTCTTTATCATTTGTTTAGATGTTCTTCTCTATATTACATGTGAAAATTATATATAAAAATAAATATACAAATTCCTGTTTCGGAGTATTTGCATTGTACCCTGAGCCAGATAATTTGTTGGAAAATAGGTGGATGAATGTTTCTAAGAAATACCCATCTTTAAAATTACTTACAACACCTTATTTATTTATTTTTAATGAAACACCATGCAAACTGAAGCAAGCAAGTTGAACAGCCAAGCAGAGACACAGTCTTTCATCAATTCTTTCAGGATTAAAAAGGCACTTTCAGAGTGATATAACATATATGAGCCTGACAGAAGCTGAATGTTTTAACAGACTGCAATTTTACTGGCTACCCTAGCTCGGATCACAGAATTTATTTTGATTAATGTAAATAGGAAGGAAGCAAGCCAATATTCAACTCTTATACTCAGCGCCCAACCCCTACAAAAAATCCTGTTGGCCACTTTAAATTGTATGTGTTTGAGTCAACCAATGAACAGCTCTACAAGATGGCTGCCATATCTAATAAAGACAATGTCATAATATTAAGTAGAATTCCTGCAGGATTTTTCCGGTGCTTTTCATAAAACAAATTCAATCAAGATCAGTCAGTAAAATAAAAAGGCTCGTGATTCCTTGAGATTGCACAGATCATAGCAGAAGATGCATTATTTGTTTTCGGGATGTTTATTCTTGGTGTTCCTGGTGAGTGTCAAAATGGCAGAAGAAAGTATCGTAGGACATGGCCTCATGTTCACCTGAAAGAGAATGAGGAATAGAAATGACATCCAATGGGGTTCCCATAAATATGACCACAGAGTTCAATAACAAACGTCTACAAGCGTTTTAGTTAAGTGCATTTGCTAGCTAACTAGAATGCCTGTAGACTGTATTCAGTCACGCAGGAGATGCACGAGAGAGACAGCTACATTTTTCGCATATTTATAGGATTCAACATATTAAAACAGTCTGGTAAGCCGCTTCATTAAAGTGTGTGCAGTAAATTCTTCGTCAATGTTAATTTTATTGTCAACTTAACGAACCTCTTGAACAGCTCTCTGTAATTAGATGAGGCTCAATTCTGAAAATGAGTTTATGTAATAATTGCTGTGTGACCAGCGTATGGTGAAACGCTGACGGGAACTCGATGATCCCAGACGATTCTGTCACCAGTATTTATACATGTAATTCTCGAGAACACAGGAAAGTCCCCAAACGCGCACACTTCTGAAATTCATCAACTTTTTTAACATATAACACCAGTGGTTGTGGCTATTGGCAAATTAAATGTAACAAAATTCACACCAGTGTCAGCTTCGGGGAAAATGAAAAGAAAGCAACAACTTTTTAGACTGGGAAATATATAGGCATGTAAAACAACACCCATCCATCCATCCATCCATCCATTTTCTGAAACCGCTGAATCCCAACTGGGGTCGCGGGGGGGACCGGAGCCTATCCCGGGAACAATGGGCGCAGGCAGCATGTAAAACAACAAAAAAAAGTATTTTATCACGCTAAAAGAACTGAAATTTGCCTGGAGAAAATAAATCGTAACGGTGACGGTATACAAGTAACCTTTCTGTGCAATGTTACTGGGCAGTGTTACTGGGTAGTTTGGCTCCCCAGTGCTGCTTGGGCACTTTCCAAATTGATATTGGACAACAAATTTCTATTTGAAAAACTTTGAAGGGCAGCGGGCAACTTCTTGCGATCATCCAAATCCAGACGAGTTGTCCTTTGTCTCACCTGGTTGGCGACTGCCCAGAAACATAGCTGAAATAGCCCAGTGTATCATCACCTTGTACATACTAACAGCTGACCTTGGGTCGCCCCATCACAGAACCAGCCCAGGTGTCCTTCTCCTGCATGCTGCCTATATGAAGCAGCACTTTACCTGAGAGGGTAACTGGAGGTTGCAGCCTCTCCCCACATGCCGGGGCTAGGAGGGCAGTCTCACCACTACGCCTCCGTACGGCTCTCTGTCCACCGCCGTGGGCGTCTTTATCTGGAAAACCAACAACGACACGCGGTTACTGGAACCAGCAACCCAGCTTTTCACCGAAACGGAACGGCAGTTTGGTGAGTGGACTGATTTGTTGCTACAACGTGACAGACCAGCAGTCAGACACACCCAGATACTGAAAAAATTTGGGAACATACGTCTCTTACGCAAGTGTCACGCCCACATCGTGAAGACGGCTGAAACTAACTACCAGCGATTAACAGGCAACAGCACAGTGCGAGGTACTGAGTACAGCCCGTTAATTGGTTAGTTTCAGCTGTCTTCGTCAGCTGTCTTTGTCATTCTAACATTGTGAGATTTGTCTCTGCAATAATAATGAACACTGTATTATTCCTGGTTTATTGTTTTATTATGATGTCATTTTTTTAATGAACAGGTCACAGGTTGAAGTGTTTCTCTAAACCTTTTGCTGTAATGTATGTTTTATTTCACTGTACTTATATCCCAAGGTCATACAGCAAAAAACACATTAAGATCATCAGACAGCCCAGTTTATCTGTATGATTGTCACTATCGAACTATGAAATAGGAAGAATGTGTTATTCCCTGAAAACCAAATGTGGAGACCAATGAGGATCGGAACCTTTAAGGGTCTGATCACACATCAAAGAGTTTTACAGTTTGCTCGCAGCCAGAAATGACCATGCCTTAGCAGAAAGTTGCTAGCCTAGCTTAACAGCCTAGTTTGATCTCAGCAAAATCCCAGGTCAGGACAGATGGGGGGTCTCACAGCACGAACCAGAAAGGGGTTAAGATCTCATCCAGTCTTACCAGCTGTCTCTGCTTTATGCGCTTGTAGACGAAATCGGAGAAGGGCTTGCGAGGGATGAAGCGTCCTGCCCCAGGTGTGACGTACAAGGCACCGTGTTCATACACCACCTTTCCCCTGGATACGGTCACCATGGCAACACCATGGCACACCATCCCCTCGAAGATGTTGTAGTCCACCGCCTGGTGATGAGTCTTAGCCGAAATTGTCCTGTCAGTGTGGGGGACAAGCAGATAAATGCAGAACGGCTGCAACTCTGGAACCCACAGAGGAACCCTGTGATTTTGGGTGCAGTACTACTGCAGTTGCAAGTCCTGTACGAACAATCAGCGACAGGGTTGTCAACTTCGGTCAGCTGGCTGGCGTGAGATTTTCAATTCGAGACAAGTCTGCACACGCATTTACATGTACGTAATAGTTTTATTACTTTCTAAGTAGTCTGTAGGGTTTACAAACTGGCCCAGAGCTTTTCATGCGGATTTTTTTAGGTTTATAATGGAATAATACCGATTTGCCGTAAGATTTGTTGCGTGACCGTCTGTAAGCGTGAGTGTCACGCCAGATGCGTGACAGTTGGCATCCCTGCAGTACTATTGAAAAGGTGTATTGAAAAGTATTTCAAGTACACACGTTTTTACTGTACTGGTCACACATGTCACTTTTATATTGCTGAAGATTATTTTTCATTTTGAAATGATGCTTCCGAATTCCTTAAGGAGCAGATATTGCTCACTACAACAAGGACGTGCCATCTATCGTGGGCTTCCCGTAAGTTTTATGTGTCAGAAAAGCATACACTGCTGCAGAATCACGGCCATTACACAAGAAGGACAGTCCTGAATCAAAATAAATGAGTCCCAGTGCAACGTCTGTGTGTGAGTGTGCGCATTTTCTAAGTATGACACAAAATATCTGAAAAATGTCACAGGGAAACGAGGGTGAAATTTCCTCTGAGATGCAATTACTTCAAACACTGAGCGCCGGAAAAATACTGCACTGTACTTCTTGATCTACTTACACAGCCTTAAAAATGAACTGCTGTTCTTTGCCATTTCAAGTCGTCCCACATTATGGATTATTCAGTGCGGCTCAATATCTTGCCAGTGGATGACAGTTGCTAAAGGCGGCCAGTTAATTTAAAGCTACACCTTGATCAATTTTTGTGTACTTGGTGGCATTTGCAAGTCTCAACACTATGCAATGCAAGATTCATTCTCCATCTTTCAAAAAAGTGATTGAGCAATATTAACTGCTACATGTAATTTACATATCGTTTACATAAGTAAACTCAAAAGTATTACACGATGGATCGCGAGAAAGACTCGTTTTTTTAAGTTTAAATATTTAATCTCACCCTCAGCACCGGTTCACAGTAACACCAACAGTAAAATCTGCAAGTTTCATGGGGAAATTTCACAGCGCATATCCATTAAGTGTTATAACTGGTGGTCAGAGGATGACTCACTCTAAATGCGATATAAAGGTAAGACAGTTACTGTCACAAAGGGCCTCGCTAAGTCCTGCAAGATGCAAGCAGCACAAGACCGATGCTCTTACGCAAGCGCATTAACTGCGTCTGCCGGGACGCTGCAGGGACTCGGCGCTGCCTGTACGCGTTTTTACGGGAGAGCAATAATCCTGCGTTCGGTGCTTTAGACACGCGAGACTGAGAAGCTTTCTGCAACATTAAACGACAAAATATCTTGGGGATGATGCTTTAACTAGCAGCGTAATATCATTAAAATTACTATCTGTACCACGCTGTTAAGAAAATGAAAAGGCGAGGTACGATGTGCGTAGTCGTCATAAAAATGTAACACGTTTAAGAAATATATCAACAAGGTATTAGTCATACTGTACTTCTATTATAAGCCACTTATATAATAAAAATACTTTTCTAAATCACGCTATTTGATTTCCATATGTTCAGAGTAGGATAAAATACATACAGGAAGCTGACACTAGTGCTCTGTCAGTTTCAATACGTTTGTTACAACAATAAATGTAGATGGTTAATTTAATTTTAATATTTTGTAAATTGCATAGCGTTACGAAAGGTTTCATTTAGATGGACACCGCGCATAGACAGCTTGCTGCATCCGGGGCTGGGAAACGCGCTGCCGCAATGTGAGCGTTCCGGAGCGGCGGGGAAGAACCGCTCGCTGCCTCGATCTGTTTGACGGGTAAAGACAGCAAAACGGCGAAGTGAAGCTGGGATTACATGGGATAAGGAAGAGTGCATGGCCATACTCTGTACGTGCGGGACACTAACCACGCGCATGCACGCAGTCCAAAGGCTGCATAAGTGACTTTTCACATTATTATGAGCACGGCTTATTAAAAAATAGCCTACTTATACAGGTATTAGGCATATTTTTCGTCTAAATCTTGTTTAACTGTTTTTCTACATTTGTTCTATGGTTGATAATTTGATCATTAACCGTCACAACAGCAATATCAGTCCTATCCCAGATAGCGTACACATACTTTGAAATGACATTGATTCCATATCAGACGAAAGGGTTGAAACAACGTTGATCTTCAATCTTTCACTTTATATCAACATTGAATCAATGTTTTGCCACCGCAACGCATTTAACTATACGCATTTAACTAGGCCTATAATTCTACGTTGAAACAGTCACATGATGCTATCTGGGATTGGTGATACGTGCGGCAAGCCGAAATGTTTGGCCGATGTTGGACAATTTCTGCCCCGATCGATTTGCTGTATTGGTATCAGCAATGGCATAAGAACCTATACGCAGAGACCCTGAATATGGGAGCCGGCAGTCTGGTTTCCTCTATGTGCTCTTTATCCTTTTTGGCGTAGAAAGTCTGACATAAGACCTATGTGAAGCAGCAGTGGGCAGTTTAGAGGTCCACCATCCTTAAAATGTACTAATACTTTTCATGCATATCCCACGTCTGCGTCATACTGTCCAACGGTACAGTACAGCGATAAGTAATAAGATGCTCAAGGGGAGAGCTCCCTCTGCTGTTACAAACAAGAGTAGCATCCAGGGTGAAATGGCAATTAAGAGCGAGTTAGAATTTTACAATTATTATTACAGGGAAATGGATTGACATCGCCCACAGCACAGCCCCCCCGCCCCCCCCCCCCCCCCAGCCCACACATTTACCTAATAATACTAATATGTATTTCTGTGTGTATATATAAACATGCACATTATTATTAATGTACTCCTCTAAATAGTGCATAGTATTACATTTAGAGATTTATTTCTTATAAAAATAACAATAATTTTAAGTGTGACGGTAGAAAGGGAAAAGCACTGGGACTCGTTTTAAATATGTATCTATAGATATACATAGGAAAAAGATAACCACTGTTTCATTACAAAAACATCAACAATTAAGAAGGATGTGTTAGTTGCTTGAGAAAAACAGTGTAAATGTAGTTTGGTTATTCTTATCCTGCAAAAAGTCCATTAAAGTAGTTTAGCATACAGTGCAACAGTCTTACCTCGTTCTGTTTGGGTCCCAAATTACCACATCTGCATCTGAACCTCTGTCGATCCTTCCTTTACGGGGGTAAATGTTGAATATTTTTGCTGCATTGCTGCTAGTGACAGCCACAAATCGGTTTTCGTCCATCTTTCCGCTATGCTTAAGGGGAAGTGACATCACAAAACACTGGGTCTCAGCATCCCTCCTAAACCCCCAGTAAATGAAAATCGCTTTTCCGCGTGACATTACAGAGGAAACTGTTAGCGAGAATTCTAACTGCGTCTACAAAACTCAAGGTTTTCTTATGGTTCAAAATAAATCACTGAAACTGAATTATTCCATCTGGTGGAAGCACTTTGCAGAGAGAGCAGAGACTGAGTGCTGGAAATACGCTCTGTGTTCGCTTATTTCTGCCTGAACTGTCTCCCTCCGGGGGCATGATATCCCCCGGCCTGCAAACATCCTTCAGCGAAATGCTAGCGGCTCACCTGCAGCCCCTGGACTCAGAGCGGCCTGCTGCAGGCCACTGAACCGGGCCTTCGCCTTCCCGCAGTACCTGGGGCACTGAAAGGACCACACTTCCATATTAATGACTGCGGACTGTCTGCGCTCCTCGTGAAGCCTGCGCTCACCCCTGCTTTGCTACGTCTGGCACGGCCGCCGCCGCATGCCCTTAAATTCATTATGTATGCCTACATCTATAATTTATGCATTTGCTATCCAATGGATGGCATACCCCGATTTGTTAACAAAGTTGTCGAGTTCTGGTGGCGGTTGACAGATCTCCTGAAAACTAAAAGTGTTCTACTATTTTACTGATCGGAATGGACTCATGGTTCGTTTCAGCTTCCAGGTAAAGAACTGAGTCGTCGTGTGACCCACTGACATCACAGCAAAGCAATATGCTTCCCAAAACACACAGAACCCAGAAAGGCTAATGGCTAAGACTCATTGGAAGGATGCAGCGACTGACCACGCCCTTTTCCCAGATGACCGACATCCGATCCTCCACACCGTTGACACCATTGGGAATCTTGGTGAAGTCATCCTTGCCCAGTGCCTTCTGGCAGATGGAGAAGGTGCAGTTATCGGTGCCGGTGACGCTGAGGTCGTCACTGGAGGGGAGGCACCGGTCACACCGTCAGCGTGGGTGAGACGGCGAGCTTTTGCGCTTATTGCTCAACTGCTAAGGGGAAACAAGCAGGAGTGAAAGGAACAGCGAGCGCCATTGGCCGAAAACGCGGACTCTGTCAGTGGATGGCGGGATTTCCGGTTCCCGAATGTGGAAACCAGTCTGTCTGCTACAGTAAATGCCACATAAAATGACCTTGCACCAGAAGAATGGAAGCTTATGAAATGGGGATAAATGTACCTTTAAATGTACGTATATATTGAAATAGTCTTTTGAACTTTTTTATTGACATTGCACTGTTTCTCCACCGGGGGCAGTGTGGAGCCACTGCGGGACATACTTGGCCAGCAGATCCATGAGGTACCCGGGGGTGCTGGGGTCCGGTCTCAGGGGCGGGCCCATGACGAAGCCCGCTGCATGGGCCCAATCTTGGTGCCAGTAGTGTGTGCCGTCTGTCCCCAGCCCGGCTGCTATGGGCTCTCCGAACACGACCCAGCCTGGGGGACAGAAAACGTCTCAGTCGGGTCTTGGTCAGTGGAAGAAGGTTCAGAGTGCCTATGGGTAATGGTCATGTCCCCACCCCCCACCCCGCATGCTCTGTCGTCTGTGTCACCTTGCTGCCGCGCGTGGCGCACCACCTTCGCGGCGGACTTGCTCATGACGTGCACCACGTACAGCGGGCAGTTGGTGGCGTGCGCGATAGTGGCGGCCCGCTGCGTGGCCTCGGCCTCCACCTCCTCGGGGCGGCACATTTCATGACCCTCGGGCCCCGTGATGCCCAGGGAGAGCATCTTCTTTGCCCCCTGCGTCGCAAACGGACACTTGCATTGAACGTGTGCAACCTTGTATGACCGGCTCTTCTACATGAATAAACAATGATAAAAATGAGGTCATGGCCGAGTGCTTCAGAGCAGAAAGGCTCGGATGAGTGGAAGCCTGCTTGCCTTTTGGCACATTTCATTGCAAGAGTGTATTAAAATACACAAGCTGGTTCGCTCACGAAAAACACACTTCCCATCTGCTCTAGGGCCTCCCCATACATACAAACCTTTAAACTAAACCCAGCCGGTCCCCATTCAAACACAAAAACTGACCAATCACGTTCAGACATATCCTCACTCCTACACACACTGAACTGGCCAATCACGTTCAGACATATCCTTACTCCTACACACGCTGAACTGGCCAATCACATTCAGACGTATCCTCACTGCTACACAACAGAACTGGCCAATCACGTTCAGACACATCCTCATTCTCACAAAACTGAACAGACCAATCACATTTAGATGCATCCTAATTCCCACACAACTGAACTGACCAATCACATTCAGACATTTCCCCATTCCCACTCACCTAATGATACACAAGACATGGGAGGTATCATGTGCAGTGTATGAACGATACCTATAATTAATGTAAACCAATGATGAACGAATATATGAAAACATTTAGGCTTAAGGATTCCCTTAATATTGTTTAAAAAAATTCACATATAAGACATATTATCATTTGTACCAAATATTCCATGAATTAAATACCAAATATAATCCACAAGCATAACATTCGTACCTATGTAGACATGCATACTTGCTACCCTCTTGTGGTGATCAATGAGACAAACAATTCGTACAACCAAGGCAATCTATACACACTGATCCACCTAAAACATGTTTTTACACTGTGGGAAGGTACTAGAAAGTCTAGATAAAACCCAAAGAAACACAGGGAAGACATGCAAACTCTGAAACCCACAACCCTGGACGTGTGACGTCTGCTGGTTCCCAAAGCAAAAATAAGAGATGAGTGATTAATATGCCATCAGGATTTATGTTGTAGGCAGACTGTTTTAGAAGGGCATGATGAAATAAAGACCAGACAGAATGCCCCAAGGAGCTGCAGATGAAACATAACTGGATCAATGATGTGTCAATCAAGTGTTGACTACAGCAAATGAGGTGTAGCCCATGATGGCATGTGACTTCAACACCACTCTTTAGCATCGTCATGGTGATGCTTATGGGGGCAACAGCCAAAGATGGGCAAGTGGCAAGTGTGACAGAAGTGAACCTAACCCCAAAGCACCATCTTTCAATCTTGGTCCTTGAGGGCTACCATGTCTGCTAGTCTTTGGTCCAGCTTAGGTCTTAAGTAGACATTACACACATGCTGACTGGGCGATTCTTGCTCCAGTATCAGCTGATCTGTAGCTGCTTCTGAGAAACTGACACAATAGGCATGAACGCCTTGAGGGGATCTCATCCAAGACAGTAACATGTGTTGCTTGTCCTGCATGCAGCAAATGGCCGCCGTCATGTAGGTGTCTTCAGTCATCCTGTCCATAGCCCCCATCAAAAACCATCCATTTTCCGTACCTGGATGTTCTAATCAGGGTTGCAGAGGTCCTGTCCGGAGCCTATTATAGACAGAACATGCCGGGATGGAGTGCCAACCCATCGCAGGGTGCACGCACAGACACACACACACACACACACACCCGCTCGCACACACACACACGCACATGCACGCACACACACACAGTCACACGCACAGACACAGACACACACACACACCCGCTCGCACACACACACGCACATGCACGCACACAGACACAGTCACACGCACGCACACACGCACGCACAGACACACACACGCACGCACACATACACGCGCATGTACACATACAGAGGCTTGTAAATATATCTTTGTGGGCACTCTCCATTCACATCTATGGGGAAAACTCTAATCATAACATGACAACCTTAACCCCTACCCAGCCCTAACCTTACCCGTAAATAACCAAACTAAATACGAGACTTTTGCCATTCTTAGGTTTACTGAAAAATGGTCCCCAAAATGTCAAAAAACAGGTTTTTAGTAGATTGTGGGGGACATTTGATCTCACAAATGGGGTGGAACTGGAGGAAACCCCACAACAGGAACAGGAACACAGGGGGAACATGCAGCCATAGCAGAGACTCAAACCTGGCCCCAGAGGTGGGAGGCAACAGGGCTAACCAGAGCACCACCATGCCCCCCCAGCAGCCATCGGAGACCCGCCCATGAAATAACCGCAGCCTTCTTGTCTGCCAACTGCTACTTGCAGGCCCAACTCTCCGATGCTGCATCTTCCCTGCCGCTGTGAGTTGCTGGGACCAGTGATACAGCACAAAAGTTCTGCAGATGTTAGGTGGGGTGGCCATTGGGTTCATTGGATTTGGGTGCTTTTTTCCTGGAAAGATATTCTTTTGTACAATGCATATTCCATGTTCCACTCTTTATCATTACCCCCCGCCCCACCACCCCCTTGTTCACAAACTTTAATACACTTGTGTTCTTGGTTTCAGTCTAATCTGTTTGTCAAATGATGCTCCTTATTATAACATTAAGAAATCAGGTCAAAATTTGTATAGATAATGTATAAATGCTCATAGGACATTATACGAAAGTCATGGGTCATGTGACACACCGCAAGAAGGCTAACCGTATTACTTACAGAATAAACTTTACCAAGCGCTTCCACTTTCAGCCGCAGCTAATGCGGACAACAGAGACGCACCTCTGCTACCAAATCTCCGTGCTCTGCGTGAATCTGAGCGACTGCGCCGAGATCTCTGCAGGCGGAGAAGGCAGCATGCAGCTCGTGGTCCTGGATCATGTAGACGTCCTTGTAGGCCATGAACATCTTGAAGGAATTGATGCCTTTTTCTCGAACCAGAGACTCCATTTCTCTTTTCACCTGGAACCAGTTAAAAAAAACAGCCTTGTAAATGTAGAGTGCTATATTAATTTGTGATTATGTACCAATAAGTATTGCTACATAGGATATACATATAAAATTCCATATATATATATATATATATATATATTGCGGTGGGCAATCGCCGCCTAATTAAGTGCTCTATTTAATGCGGAAGCAACTTCTCTGAACTTGCGAAGTATTGTTGCCATGGTTATGACACAAACTGAGCGTTTTTTTGTCCATTGTCTCTCCCGCTTGCCCTGCTTGTCTCGTTCTGCCCTGCCCTCCCTGCCCTCCTGCCAGCCTGCCCTGCCTTCCTGGTCTGCTCTCGTCGCTCCTCCCATCCCTTCGTCTCCTCGTCCCGTCACTGAACGTAGGGTTGACCCTCCCGGCTACTGACCCACCGCGACCAACCCGACCTCTCTTTTGGATTTGCCCTCTGGATTTTGGTGTAGCCAGTTCTCTGAATAAAGCGTTCTCCTGCATTTCAGGGTCTGCCTCTTCCCTGGTTGTGAAGCCTTACAATATATATATACGCCAAGCTGCCTACACAGAAGAGCGATAGAGTGTCAGATCATATGACCTGGCCACCTACAGTAACTTAAGCGCAGTAGAGATGGTTTGGGAAGAGTTTGACCAGAGAGTGAATAAAAAAGTGGTCAATGAGTGCTCAGCATATGGGGGAGCTCATTTATGGGGAGACTCCCTCATGAAAATGTAAAGAGGAGGGTCAGTCCCGGGAGCAATCAGGGTTAAGGGCCTCGCTCAGGGGCCCAATGATGGAATCACTCTGCCAACCCAGGGATTTGAACCTGCAGCCTTCTGAGTTACAACCCACAGTGATCCGCCCCACTAACAAATTATTATTTTTTAATACTGTTTTGGCCGGTGCATAATTGAATATATCATCGGATTTTGGGCTAGGTGGAATCACTAAAAATTACCATGAGTCAGAGGTCTGAGTTTGCAGATGTAGACCACAGAATCAATGGTGTAGGGATTCAGTCAACTGAACTTCATTAAAGGTCTGAAGTAGAGCCCTGCATTGGGAGCGGGATCCCACGGGTCCCGCGGGACCCAACGCAAATCTCACGGGATTGGGCGGGTTTCAGATTGTCGTGGGCGGGAGCGGACGGGAGCAACAGAGATAGTGGGCGGGATAAAAATAGACAGCGGGTCCCAAAATTGTTAGCTTAGCAGGACGGAGGATGCAGCTGATGTTGTTAATAAAATTGCAAAGGGAGAATATAAAACAAAACTAAAATTGGGGAAATCGGAGATATAGAAAAACTTTAAAATTGTAACAAACAAAGAGGGTAAAGAGCTGAAATTTGTGTGTTGTGTGAAGTGCGGCAAAGCGATAGTGTACAACGGGCACAAATCTGGCACTTCAGGATTGAGGCGACACACCTGCCCCGTTGCTGTACTCCCAGGTAGAGCCCTGCATTGGGAGCGGGATCCCGCGGGTCCCGCGGGACCCAACGCAAATCTTACGGGATTGGGCGGGTTTTAGATTGTCGTGGGCGGGAGCGGGCGGGAGTGACAGAGACAGCGGGCGGGATTGGGCGGGAATCGTCAGAAATTCAGCGGGATTGGGCGGGAATCGTCAGAAATTCAGCGGGAGTGGGCGGTAATGGTCAGAAATTCAGCGGGAGTGGGCGGGAGCGGGATTAAAAAAATAGTCCCGCGCAGGGCTCTAGTCTGAAGTTCTGGCTTCCCCACAAGTAACACCAAGTCTTTTCATTTTTGTCTGTAATTTTCAGCCAATGCAGGATGTGAGGCAGCTATCTCAGATGTGTTAAATTCTATCTTACAGCTTGTGGGATGTCTGAGATTTACATTAATATACAAACAAACAAAAATTCAAAAATCCAGTTTCTCGTGGACACTGAAATTTGTCTTGGAAATTGACTTCCGTTGTCCCCTACCGTGTCTGCCCACCACGTCACGGCCATGTGCAGGGAATAGTCGCAGCAGACTTTGGAGTCTGCTCTCGACCTCCAGTTTTCATAGGCTTGGAGCAGAGAGGCTCCCTTGTTGGGGATGACAAAGTCCATGATCATGGTCGTACCACCAGCCAGGGCGGCCTGCAAAAATACGTAAATGCTTGATACAACAGTGACAAAGGCTGCTGCTTGAGTTATAATCACAGTAAAAGCAGGACTGGGAAACACTAGAACCAGTCAAGAACACTTCCACAGCTATTAAAAACACAGGGTGGATATTGGTGAACTGGGACAATTTTTGAAATGTTACTTTATCTTTCACTTTAAAAATATTATCCTAATTATAAATATTGAACCATAAAAGTATTACTGAAAGCTCAAGAACTTAGTTTAAGTTAATAGACTACAGAGGTATAAAGATATAGCGTACCAAAAATATAGTTGTCCCGGTTTACCCTTTGTCCCATTTAATCAATATTCACCTATAGAATGATCAGACACACACACACACATATACATACACACACACACACATTTACACGCGTGTACGTCTATTGTAAAATAACTCTACATTTCAAACTATTATTTTTATTATTAAGCCCATCACTCTAAAAGCAAAACACTTTACCTTGGTTCCAGTGTAAAAATCGTCCGCGGTTTTAGTGCTCATGAATTCCAGCTCCATATGCGTGTGGGTGTCGATACCGCCTGGCATGACAAGCTTATCCGTTGCATCAATTACTCTCACCCCGGCAGGGACCTGAAGGTTTAATCCGATGTCTTTAATTAGCCCATCTTCAATGTAGACGTCGCTGATTACTGAGCAATCCTCGTTTACAACTTTCCCTCCTTTTATTAGAATCCTGCTTTGATCTGTCATCCTACCGACGTTTTAATTAAATGAATCGCCTGTAGTAATAATAAAAAAATGTATATTCAGCGAATTGAGAAAACGTCGCTTATTTTATGTTTAAATAACGATAAGAAATGTTTTAACGCGTATTGCTTTTTATGTGGTTACTGCAAGGAATTACGCTGATGTATTTTCGGGTCCCTGAGTGTTCTTGATAAAACTAAGTCCTCGGTTAATATACACATGTCCCTCGATCGTAGTCCAAACTGTTTCCTGTCGTTGGCCCCTGTACCTAAGGGCGTAGATTTAGGCACGGACGGTATGGGAGTACAATATGTAACTAGGGAGGCGGAGATGATAGGGGCTGGTTTGGTCCTTACCGGTGTTCACAGCTGAAACCAAAACTACGCCCTTGCTGCGCAGGTCTAAACCTTAAACATCTTGTTTGAAAATGCATAGCCAATTTGCTTTATAGTAGGGAAAATGCTGTTCTCTGGTTGGGAGTTAGTGTTAACTTCTCTTGACGTAAGTCCCACCCTGAATTTAGTGAAAGAGATTAATTATCGATATACCACAGCATAATAACTAAATGTGTCATCTGCATTTAACCCATATGTGAGAGCAATGGAGAGCTACTATTCAGCTCCCATGGAGCAGTACTTTACTGGTCGGGGATTCGAACCAGAAACCATTCGAACACAAGCACGCCTCCCTTGCATTTCACATTTTCTTCTCTTCCTACTTAATTTCTCTAACGGTTTATAAGTGGAGGGATTTGTGTTTTTAGAGCCGCCTAATGTGACCGAGGTGGAGGGGAGCGTCCCGAGAGCTGAACCAATGTTAATTTCGCTGACGAAAAATGAACATTGTTCACGACGAAAACGAGACGATAATAGAACACCAAATTAATATATGGCGCCAAAAACTATGACGAAATGTCATGTCAACCAATGAAACGACTGGAAAATGTCACGAGGCAACACAATTGAAACTGGTCCAATTAGAAGCAGCATCGATTGTAGCTGCGCATGAATTCAGTCTTACCGCAGTCATAGGATCTTGTCTGCCACTTCCACCTTGTCTGAACTCCATCTGTGGGCGCAAAAAGCATAAAAAAAAGAAATATATATATATATATATATATATATATATATATATATATATATTATCAAGCTGTTATTCATGTTCGTGCGTGAACAGAAAGTTGCATAAAAAATTTCAGTGAATAAAAGAAAAATCGACTGCTATGCCTAATTTGGTTTTTATATAGCCGGCCTATCCTGGAACTTTTACAAGGGTGTTGGCATTTTGAAAGTCCCTAGTCACTCGTGTGAGCGGCTAGCTAATGATGACAGAGCCAGCACAAAAATCTTTAACACCTGAGGAAAGATGTGAAGTGCCTGCTTAAGGAGAGATGAATATAAAATTGTCAGTCTACGTAAGCAGAATCAGATATTCGGCAGTCTTTTTCCACTGTACACGACCACAATGACAACCACTTAGACAAATGCAACAAAGTGCTATCATACTGTACACTTGGCACAAGTCTGGCAGTTCAGGACAAAAACGTCATGTGTTCAGTTTCAAAGGGCCAGACTACACTGACATTCACTGCAAGTGCGAGCAAATCAAAAGCGACAAGTGCACTAAAAGAATGAAACAACAAAAATGTGTGGATTTTGTTTGTGCAGATCTGTGACCTGTTATTGCAAAGTAGTAATGCAATAAGTAATTTTTAACTGTGAAACACTGAATGTAGCCTGTTTGTTTCAGCTACAGGTTTGGCTTTATTCGTAACCTAAGAATAAGCATAGTCAAATGAAATGTTTAATTTGTGGACAGAAGGGGGACGAGACTTATAAGATGTGGGTGAGTGCGGGACAAAATATGATAAGCTTCTGCAGTTAGAAACTTAAAGGTGACTTTGGCCCTGTTTATACTTAGTTTTTATATGCGTCTTTGGTGATTGGATCACAAGTGGACAGCTGAGACATGGCCGTTCACACCTGTGTCTATCATGCATCTCCAAGGTGCCTGCTGACTGCTTGTGTTCAGATTTCATTACTGCCTACGTCACTTCTGCTGCAAAGTGAAATGGCACGAGCACAATTATTGGTGGCGTCCTTGTCGGAGACTCTTCTGGACACATTAACGTTTATACCACCAAAGATATGTGGTCAAATGTGTCCCAGACCACCTTGGCAAGTGGTTTTAGTGATCGGATCACAATCACTGTCCACTTGTACTCAGATTGTCCAGGTCACATTTTAAAACCAAGTGTAAACGCGGCCTCACGTTCATTCTTAGAAAAGATCTAAATCAGGCTTAGGCACATAGGTCTGTTACACAAAGCTGAGTAATAATTCACCACAGTGTAACCAAAACAAAGTTGTACTCAAATCCAGGATAAAGCTACTTCATATTTCACAGGGATTTAGGCATTTGACAGAATATATTTTGCTCACTTTCCGCTCACAGTGTAAAATACTGTAGTTTAAATTATTTCATTTTTTATTAGTATATCAAGTTTTTAGACAAAGTCTGGGTATGAATGTGAAAATTGTAAAAACCTGTGTAGAATTTGAATAATCATTGACATGTTGGTCCGACAGTTCTTTAATGTATAATTTATTATCTGCAATTGGACAGACATTTGTTATTCCAAGCTTTGAAAGGAAAAGGTAAGTTTCATTTAGGTGATTTTGACCATTTATTTAACCTGGGGCAAAACATGTGGTTGTAATTAGTTCTGATAAATTCTAATTGGTTCTGATTGCAATGGACAAGTGGGTCACGAAACCACTGCACCCAGATCTTAAACAGCAGTAGCGATGAGCACAGAGATGATTCAGGGTGAGCTGATTCCTATCCATCTCGGTGCGCAATTATTTCGGTAAACCTGTCAATAGATGCGGATCTAAGTTTGCCTGATGGCCATGACCTGGAACAGTGGCTAGCATAGAAAGGATACCATGAACCCACAGGCACTGGTCCTCCATGCAGTGCTGGTCAACTCATTAGGCGTGCCATCCTCTAAAGCACCACCAGTTCCCTCCAGCAGGGGGAGCATGCACGCAACCACACACGGTGCATCGTCCATGACACAATGCAATTGTGCAGTTCAGTTTGCCTGGGGGGAAGGGGGTGCACTGGCAGTGAAGCTCGCCAAGGGCCCCACCTGGACTTTGACTGGCACTGCCTGCTAACTGTGCAGATTCCTGGGATGCTTTACCACTGACGCTTCATGGTAGCACACCCACTATGGTGTGTATTTTGTGTGTAGTTCACTATTTGACGGTTAAAAATCAGCTAAAGATAAACAAACTAAAAAACTGATGGATCACAGTGACAGTGAAATTAAGTTTTCATACTCAGATCTCGTGACCCTTAGTGAGATTTCCAGTCACAAACGCAGGTCTTCGTAAAGACTGTTGGTTTAATCCCAATCCCTTAATTGATGAATAGTCCTTAAAATAATGGAAATCACTGAAGCGACCTCTGAGTCATCAGCATGTATTAATCCTAAACATCTGATTGGCCAGACCCTGCAAGGCCCTGCTGTATACAGTGCGTCTCTAAGTTTCCAGTCCTAATTGAACCCGTTGTGCAGAGGTGAAAATTTCAGGTCCAGAAAGTATGAATCCAGACCAGGATTTTGTTTCAACCAACCAGTGGAGTACTCTGTAACTGTGACTCTTTATGCTCAACTGGTTGGTTGAAACTAAATCACGGTCTGGATTTGTACTTTCTGGACCTGAAATTTCCACCTCTGCCGTTGTATAGGTGACTGCAGGCGTGTGGCTTCCTGGTCTCCCCACCAGTTAAAGTTGTTGATGCTTGGTCTACCTTGTAATTAATCCGCATGCCCCCCCACATGCAGAGGTGAATGTATGACTATGTGTCAACCACAGCTATGACTTTGAAGTCATCTCTGAGTGCTGATTGGCTGCCTTTACTGCTTGTCCTTCCCCTGTAGTGTAGTCACAGCGACTTTGCTGTGTCGCCATTGATTTTTCACGCGTCAGCAAAATAAATTTTTACCACAGGTGTGGTGGTTCTTCAAGCCATTGAGCTGCTGAAGTTGTGATATGGAACTATGCTGTTGTTTGCTTAGACTGTGAGATGTTTTTTTTTTTTTAAACAGTCTACTAAACAGGCAAGTATCTCATATGGGATCTCATATGGAGCAGGGACACCCTTTGTCTTCAGCCAGCTTCAGGTCTTCCTGGAATGATGCCATTCAGAATCAGAATCAGAACTCACTTATGGGGGCGTGATAATCTTAGAAGATGGGAAGATCCCAAGGGAACAGTGTTTGCCACATAGGATCCACCTGCTCCTGTAAAATGACCTCATATTCCATGCAGAATAATCATCGGGCCAGAATCCTGCCATGGGTCGCCATAAATAGTCATGGTGGATCTGTTGTTTTTCTCCAAACGTAAACCCATCCAGATGTAAAGCAGAAAGGGGAACAATGACTCATCAGACCTTGGGACTTGTTCCCATTGGTCAGGAGTCATTCTGTGCTCCTCCCACCAGCTCGTGTGTCTTTCTACATCAGCCTGGACTGCAGCCCTGCCGTAAATCCCAGCTTTGTGCAGCTGCCGTTGTGTCGGTTTATACTGCTGGTTCAGTGTTTTCAGGTCGCACTTTTGTGTCGTTTAGCGACTATCCCGTTATGGGTCAGGGGGCTTTGAGCTGAGACCATGTACCCCACTGTCACTGCAGTTTGTCTGCATGTGGGATATGCCGTCATGATTTCTGAGACTGTCCCCCTTTAAATAACTGCATTTTTTTTGATTGAAGCACCTGCTGTTCTGCCAGTAATTACAGTATTTGGAATCTTTATAGTGCGGTTAGATGAAAACTCATATTAAAGATATGAGTCAGCTGACTGTCAGAATTTTTTGTTTCCACGCTGAAGTTTTTCTTTTTTGATCTGTATTTCTGTTATTTTCAGAGTTGGGTAATCCCGCTCTGGACTTTTACTCTCTGCAACTGAATTACCCAACTCTGCTTATTTTCCTGCTGCCCCCTAACTGACGGCCCCATGGATTTTTCTTTATTGCCTCATTGGTTGCACTTCCCTTTCTAACAGACAGGTGGTGCCGCAAAACACTGTGCATTCACGCATAAACATTAACTGCAGGAGTCCACAGACTGACGGGCCTCTCGTGTTTGAGGATACTGCACATAAATCACAAATGTGAACCATTAACAGTATGAATAAGAAATTAAGTTTTAATGTCCTAAGACAACTAACATTTTCAAGCAGTTTACATATCAGAATAGGCCAATTCAG